TACGTAAATATGTAAATAAATGCCTATATTATATCTGTTCATCATATAAAGCGATCATGTCTCTTTTGAAGACTTGGATTAAGCCACTTGATTCATATGGATTACTTAGAGGATATCTATACATTTTTTGAAGAGTCAAATTTTGGTAGAATGGACTTTAAATGGAGGGACAGAAATCTCACAGGTTTCATAATCTTGGTTTTGTGTTTCAAACATGAAAGTCGTATATGTTTTGAGTGCAGAGTGATCCCCGAGTAAAAAAAATCTGAGTATCCTCTACCTGAACAGAATGTGAAGTGTCTCAGACATTGCAACAAATGAGTTCAGCATGATATTCCTAGGGCTTCTGTGTTGTTGTTTTTTTTAAACAAAATACAAACTGCAACTATACAGTTATTTCAGATGGTGTAAATATATCATCTTCTCCGCTTAATGCCATAATCAGTGTTGGGGAAAGTTACTTTTAAAAGTAATGTGTTACAATATTGTGTTACTCCATTGAAAAATAACTAATTGTGTTACTTAAAATAATAATACTAAATAATAACTTAATAACTAAAAATGTTACTTAAAAAAGTAATGCATTATATTACTTTTGTGTTACTTTTTGTCACCTGGGCTGGGTTTTTAATAAAAAAAAACCAACTAAGTTGGCGTAAATTTTGGCAACTCTCATACCAAAAGTGAAATTAATAAGCCTCAGGCTGAAGGAAGTGCCTCAGCCTCTGCACCTCACTCCCAGTTTCTCCCAACACAGGGACAGGAGAGGTGTCAGTGAATAAATGAGAAAACCAAGTAACTTGCATTGCTTATTTGAAAAAGTACCTCAGATATTTTGTTGTAAATTTGAAATTAATGCGTTACTTTACTAGTTACTTGAAAAAAGTAATCTGATTATATAACCTGTGTTACTTGTAATGTGTTACCCCTCAACACTTGCTGTAATACTTCCGAATTGGAGCTTTGAAATATTTCATTTGTGTTCTTCAAATCTATAATGTTTAGATCATCTATTGGTCCAATATCTTAGTACTATGCTAAGATATTGGACCAATAAGACTTCACTGCACTTGAAATCTCATTGTTTTAAAATCACCCTATGTATTACACTTCGATATGGCTCTTCCGTGTCTGGAGTTATTTAAAGCTCTTAAGCAGTTGAGCCACCAATGCAGTCACCATCATATGACCTTGACTAAGAGATCTACTGTAGGTCAGATGTATTACTAGCATAGAAAGTCAGAGCGCATGTCTGTTTGCGTGTCCTTATTCTATTCATGTATTCGTACAGTGCTGAAGTTTGAGTTAAACCTGATTTTCCAGTTACCTTTACCAGCAATGTGTGACGCAATATGTGGAAAACTAAAACACACTAAAACACATCTTTATCC